CCATTTTAATATTCAGATCTTTAAGCCATTTTGACTTTATATTAGTGCATGGTGATAGGCTTGGATCATAACTTAGTCTTCAGCATGTGGAAAGCCAGTTTTTCCAGCATCAGTTTTTAAAGAAGCTATCTTTCTTCCAGTGAACATGTTTGCCCACTTTGCCAAAGATAAGGTGACTGAGAGTCTTTGTGGTTGTGTCAGCATCTTCTAGTCTGTTCCACTGATCTTCAGGTCTGTTTTTTGTCAATACCATGCTGATTTTATCACTGTAGCTTTGTAATATAATTTCAAATAGGAGGTTGTGATACCTTCTGCCTTGCTTTTGTTGCCCAGGATTGTTTTTGCTATTCTGGGTCTCTTCTGGTTTTTTTGTTGGTAAGGTTTTTATTACATTTTCAATGTCATTGACTGATATTGGGTTATTCAAGATTTTTATATCTTCTTCATTTCTCTGGTTCCAGATAAATATTAGGAATTTTTTCTCTAGGTCTGTGAGGTATACCAATGGTATTTTCATTGGAATTGCATTGAATCTGTATAACAATTTTGGGAGTATGGCCATTTTCACAATGTTGGTTCTTCCTATCCATTAGTAAGGAATATCTTTCCATTTTTTAAAATCCTCTTCAATCTCTCTTTTCAGAGTACTGTAATAGTCACTGTATAGGTTTTTACTTCTTTTGTTAGATTAATTCCTAAGTATTTTAGTTTTTTGGATGCTATTGTGAAAGGTATGGTTTCCCTTATTTCTCTCTCAGTAAGTTTGTTGTTTCTGTATAGGAATGCTACTGATTTTTGAGTGTTGACTTTGTATCCAGCTATGCTACTGAATATGTTGATTAATTCTAGGAGTCTTTTGGTGAAGTTTTAGGGGTCTTCTATGTAGAGTATTACATCATCTGCAAATAAAGATAATTTCACTTCTTCCTTTCTTATCTTTATATATTTTATTTCTCTCTCTTGTCTGATTGCTCTGGCTAATGTTTCCAGAACTGTGTTGAATAGAAGTGGTGACAGTGAACATCCTTGTCTTATTCCTCATTTTAAAGTCTGTAAAGTTTTCAGTTTTTGACCATTTAGTATGAGGTTGGCTGTTGGTTTGTCATAGATGGCTTTGATCAGATTGAGGTAAAGTCCATTTATGCCAATTTTCTGTAGGATTTTATCATGAATGAGTGTTGGACTTTATCAATAGCTTTTTCTACATCTATTGAGGTAATCATGTGTTTCTTGTCTTTAGCTCTGTTGATATGGCGTATTACATTGATTGATTGCATATATTGAACAATCCCTGCATTCTTGGGATGAATCCCATTTGGTCATGGTATATTATCTTCTTGATGATTTGCTGCATTCTATTAGTTAGTATTTTATTGTAAATTTCTGAATCTATGTTCACTGGAAAGATTGGCCTATAGTTCTCTTTTTTGGTTAGTTCTGTTTCTATTTTTGGTATCAGGGTAATTCTTGCATTCAGGAATGAGTTTCTGGTTTTGGTATCAGGGTAATACTT